TAATATAAGACGTAACTTTAAATGAATAGATGCAACTATTAAGACACAACCGTAAATTGAAAAGATACGACTGTAATTGAACAAATATAACTGTAAAAAAAAAACCTTAAATATGTTAACGAAGATATACGATAAAAAGACACAACGTAAAAAATAACCGTAAATATTTTAATGAAAAGATGCGATAAAAAGACACAACCAAAAAAAATAACCGTAAATATTTAAACGAAATGTGCGATAAAAATACGCAACCATTCAGAAGTGCAAATGACATTTATTGAGATTGCTATTATATATAGATTTTATGTATTTAACACTTTATTGTCATTCTGTGATATATTACGCATCATCACAATGGGACATTGCTTCCCAAATTATACTTCATTGTGATCGTATGGATGTTTAGATATTGCTTGTTTGGATCTTAGTTTACATTGAGTGTTTGTATTTGCTTAATTCATAAACAAACCTTAAAATCTTGGCGTAATGGACTAATGGTGTTAGCGTCATAACAATAAACATACAATTTTATCTATTTATAAGCACCCATCATGTCTTGTCCACTTCTTATTGAACAATTGTTCGCTAATCATGCGTTAATATATTTTTACTCAATTTTGTTGTTATAGTTAAACCCAAAACCGTAAACTCTAAAACCTAAATACCATTGTCCATTGATAACGAACAAATGCTCGAATTGGAATGAACATCTTGTTAGCGTCATAAAAATAAACATAACACTTTAAATATATATAAGCATCCATCAAGCCTTGTAAATTTCTTCTTTAACAATTGTTCGCCAGTCATGCGTTATTATATTTTAACTCAATTTTGTTGCTATAGTTAAACCGAAAACTTTAAACTCTAAGACATAAACACTATTGTCTATATTCATCCATATCATTAGAGTTTGATGGATATGTTCAGATGGTCGGTATTCAAAAATTATGGTCTCGTCCGGGTGAATTAAGCAATACTGAAATGTTATTCTTTTGTTTAAGTATTTGTGGACATGGTCTAGTGGATGAGTTGATTTGGACATGGAGAAGCCAAAGCTTCACTGCCACCACGTTAAAAATTAAATGAACTTATATATTTATTTGGGTTTATAAGGTAGAAGTTAGGGTATATTTTTATACATTTAAACAAAGGGAAAAATGTCATTTAAATCATCAGTTTACCATTTTCGTTGGTTTAAAGCATGAACTCTGGACCTGGTGATTTAAATCCTCAATTTTATGTGGACCTGGTGATTAAAATCCTCAATTTTATGTTGACTTTCAATTTAATCACGAATTCTCGTTGACTAAGCCAATTGAGGCTCATTGTTAACTGGCTAAACGGAGCAATCAGACGAAGAGGAAGATGGAAACTATGTTGGTGTAGAAGAAAAATTATGCAATGGCTTCGAAGTACCAGTTATGCGATGACATCGTCTTATTGATCCCTTTAGTCAGTTAGCGATGTGCTTCAATTGACTTTGTCAATGAGAATTTATGATTAAAATGAAAATCAACATAAAAGTAAAGATTTAAATCACCAGATCTAGAGTTCATGATTTAAACCAACAAAAATGGTAAACTGATGATTTAAATGACATTTTTCCCTTAAAACAAACTTACATATCGGTTTAGGTTCATAAGGTCGGAGTTAGGATATATTTTTATTTTAAACGAACTTATATATCGGTTTGGATTTATGAAGTAGGAGTTAGGGTTTATTGTTATACATTTAAACGAAGTTACATATCGGTTTGGATCTATACAGTTAACTAAAAAAGTTGGAAAATGAACAAATTATAAAAGAAATTTGTTCAACTCATTCATCTACTATTTCTCAGAGGAATCAGTTGAATAATGTTCGACATTTTTTTTCTAATACAATTTTTTCCAATCATTCATCTACATGAAACAATTTGCACCCGTAGTTTTTAACTTTATGGTGCTATATACTTAAATAACTTATCAAAAGTGGTTATATTTGCAAATGACCCCTTTTAAAATACTTGAAAATGCATCATGCTACAAATAAGCATATATAACATAGATTCATATAATCGGAATTTAAAATATTTGGTTATTTTTCTATTTGCTTTCGATTAAGAATTTTTATAGGTGTATGATTTTAAGATTAAAATTTCAAATAATTTTTTTGAATCATATTTAAGCATATTTAGTATATATTTCCATTGTTCAAAAAAGCGTTAAGCGCTAAAACGCTTAATCGGAACCTAAGCGGTTTTATGCAGTTTACATAAAACATTACAAATATAATATTATACATAAAAATTATATTAAAATATCTATTAGAAAAATAAATTATAAAAATTAGAAACAAAATTTAGAAAAAAGATTTATTTTATTAATTCATATCAATTAATATATGAACGTTTGTAACTATGTAAGTTGAGATAAACCTTAGTTGAAATTGAAAAAATACATTAAAACGAGATCAATTCAATTTTAAACGGTCGTTTCGGCGTCTTGTGAGCGTAATGCCTTGTCGGGGTCTAGACGACCGCTAAGATCGCTTTTGAGAACATATTCGATAAAAAAAATTATTTTCGATTAACATTTTAGTTTGTTTTTCGAATTTTTTGTTTTATTTGATATATTCAGTTATGCAAAATAAATTAAGATTGCGATTTGAGTACAAGTCAGTTTATTTATTAAAACAAATTATAAATTACTTGGACATAGTTTGCACATTCAACAGATAGATACCAATTTGTCTCTCCGGGATGTTTTTTGAAACCGTCAAGGAAAAACTACATCAATATCGAGACTATGTTGAGCACCGTAAAGATGTGGCCGACCTCGGAAAAGGTGAGGCTTCTTATCTTTGTTGGCTGGATCCTCCTCAAACACAATATCATATGGATGCATCTTCAAAATCTACAGATTTTAGAAAGGAAAAAATGAATTCAATATAAATAACATAGTGAATCGTTTCCCATGGAAAGAGACATAGTTTCATCTCTAAAGAATAAGTGAATAACATAAAACCCCACCCTATGAAAGATTGCGCTCTAGAGATATGGTGTTCGTAGAATATATAATGGGTAACTTTTTACAAAGGGGATGAGTTGAACAAATGGAGTTTTGATGTTGGTCAAAATTCTTTCTTCGCAATCATCAGGTAAAAACTTCAGACATTTCTACTTAATTAATAATGAAATAGATTTTTAACTATGAGAGCTAAGAAATGAGTTTTACTTATGAAAATACCATGAAGTGAAAAAGTAAGTGTATCTTACAAAAATACTTCAACTCCTTTATTTGCTCTCATAGCTACGTTCGGCTTGACCCATTTCAAAGCACTCATGTCATATTCGGTAATCAATAGAGACAAACCACAAACGGTTACTAATCATACAAATAAGTTTCTTAGATTGCGGTATTGGCTGAGGAAATAGTGAAACTACCTCCGGAGAAGAATACTAGAACATTGACATTCTTTATTTTGCTGAGAGGCTCCGTAACAGGTTGGATTGAGTTGTAGCATCACAAAAGAAAGTTCTTGTGTGACCATTATCTTCACAGACTACATGATAAGAAAAATTTCCTACGTTTCAGAAGAGATATGAAGAAGGAGGTGAAGAAAGCTTTGGCAATCGAGAAGCTTACCAAAATCGATGAATTTATTATTAAAAATTATAAATTATTTGGCATTGGGTTGATGAATTTTGGTTCGGTAAATTTAGTTAAGTTCAGCTTTTTTCCTATCCCGGTTTTTTAAAATTGTTTGGACATTGAATTATATTTGTTATTTCAAATTTTAGAAATGGGCCAAATTAATTGTGAAAACATTTGGGCATCTTACGCTTGTTTTGTGACATCGTTGGAAATCAACCATTTGAGAGTAAATAATTTTGCATCGCATAAGATATGATGGTAGTTATTAAAAACACCGGTGTGATATTTTCGATGAACCTATGACACGCAAGTTAAAACATAGCAGTTAAAACTAGGCTAGTGAACATAAACATATTAATGATTTTCGCGCTTGTTAATTTATGAGTTCTAGCCATTACGATTGTCATTTGTGTTGTTTGGAACTTTAGATATTGCTTATGACATACTTTAGATAGGATCTTCTCTCTTTGTTGGATGTGTTTTTATGTTGAGTTTAGATTGGTATTTTAATATTTTATTTCTTTTTGGGTTTGGATACCGGATCCATATATTTTGGAATGGATAAATGAACTTTTTCGATTTCACGCATAAACCAAATAGTTAGTAGATTTATGAATAGCAACTAGCAAGCGCCCGTAAACACGCAATTAGAGCATATGGTGTTGGTGAACAAAAACAAAAATGAGTCATGTACTGTCTCGGGAAATAAGTATAATGTATCTACGTGTTTGTTCATGAAATATTTTACGGTGCATTGATTTTTTTTTTTTTTTTTTTGATAAAAAAATTTGGACCATTTCTCGATTTATGCGTGTCATCCTTGCGCAGGGGCCATGCTAATCTTCTCTGTATCGTTCCAATTTTATCGGATGTCCCCGAAGGCCCGAAGGGACAAATTTTTATATTATTTTGCGACTACGTTGCAACCCTCATGATTTTATTTAGATTTTTTTACGGTGCATTGATTGGTTGTTTATAACAATTTTTTATCTAAAAAGTTGTTAACAAGTTGTTAGGACCTCCCTAATTAACGATATTGACGTGAAATGTTGATTCCACGAAATTCACAATACAAATCTCAAATTTTGTTACAATTCATTTTATATAGTTTGCTAACTTAATATTTTAAAGTGTACATCAATTCATTTTATAGTTTAATAATATATTTTTTTTTTTGGAAAACAATAAGAAAGAAAGAAAGTAGACAGCAACTCTTGTCTCCATCTCTCACCAAACATCCGAGTCAACGTATTTCACCCACCGGTACAACTAAAAAATACACACCTACGAAAATAATAAAATCAACTTACCAGATTGTTACGTACCACACATCTCTATATCCCTTCGCCAACCAACGTTCCCCACGTGCTCCGCCGGTTGGTACTCACGTGACCGGCAGCTTCTCGTTCTTTTTATCTGTTTTCTTCAATAACGATTCATAATCTATTGTGTCTTATTTATAATCTCTTCACATCTCAAAGATTTGTACCGAACCTACATAGCAAAATCTTTCCCTAAACACAATTCATCTTTGTATAAAGAAAAACAAAAATGGTTAGGCAGACAGAGACCGTGTGTGTAACCGGCGCTTCGGGATTCATCGGTTCATGGCTAGTGATGCGATTACTTGAACGTGGTTACTTTGTTCGTGCCACTGTTCGCGATCCCGGTACATATCTATCATTCAAACTCGTTTCTTCTAAGATTCTATATTTATAACGTTAATTTACGGGTTTTGTTTTTTGGATTATAAAGGGAATTTGAATAAAGTGCAACATCTTCTTGATTTGCCAAACGCCAAGACTCAACTCACTTTATGGAAGGCTGATTTATCTGAGGAAGGAAGCTACGATGACGCCATAACCGGATGTGACGGTGTTTTCCACGTGGCAACTCCCATGGATTTTGAATCAAAAGATCCTGAGGTGAGTTTCTATATTATGAACTTGTTTTGGTTTTTGCATCAACCTTAAATTGAGTTTTGTTTTGTTTTTACGAATCAGAACGAAGTGATAAAGCCTACAGTGAATGGAATGTTGGGGATAATGAAAGCATGTGTTAAGGCAAAGACAGTAAGAAGATTCGTTTTTACTTCGTCTGCTGGAACTGTTAATGTAGAAGAACATCAGAAGAGTGTCTACGATGAAAACGATTGGAGTGATCTTGAGTTTATCATGTCCAAAAAGATGACAGGATGGGTAAAAATATACATATTACTTAAACTCAATTTAGTGTTAATCTTCTTCCAAGTAATTTAAAGTTCATATATGTTTGTGGCAGATGTATTTCGTGTCGAAAACCTTAGCCGAGAAAGCAGCATGGGATTACGCCGAGGAAAAAGGATTAGACTTCATTAGTATTATTCCAACATTGGTGGTCGGTCCATTCATAACAACATCTATGCCGCCTAGCCTCATCACCGCGCTCTCTCCTATCACTCGTACGTGTGTACGCTTCTTCTTTTGTTGGAAATGTGAAAATGTTAAATCTAAAACGATGAATATATTATAATGTTTTAGGGAACGAGGCGCATTACTCGATCATAAGACAAGGACAGTATGTGCATTTGGACGACTTATGCAACTCGCATATCTTCTTATACGAACAAGCAGCTGCCAAGGGACGTTATATTTGTTCCTCTCACGATGCTACAATTCTTACTATCTCAAAATTTCTCAGGCAAAAATACCCCGAATACAACGTGCCTTCAACGTAAGATATAATACCCGTTGACGCCTGATCTTTTTGTTCAACCAAAATGTTTTGGCCCATAATCTCTTTGTCCTAAAATATTCATTGGAACAGATTTGAAGGTGTGGATGAGAATCTAAAGAGCATTGAGTTCAGTTCCAAGAAGCTGACTGACATGGGGTTTAACTTCAAGTATAGTCTCGAGGAAATGTTTATTGAGTCTATTGAGACATGTCGTCAAAAGGGTTTTCTCCCGGTTTCTCTACCGTACCAATCCTTATCGGAGGACAAAGGTCCGACTAAGGATGAAAATATTGAGCTCAAAGCCGGAGATGGTTTAACCGATGGTATGATGCCATGTAACAAGATAGAACCGGGGCGAACCGGCGAGAGAACCGATGCTCCCATGCCAGCAGAACAGATGTGTGCTTAGAAAATTCAAACGTTATATTATATTGTCATATCGCTTTACTATTGGAGGTGTGATTTGAATTTGTTTTATATTACTAATCATAGTTTATCATTTGCGAGTGATATGAACTGCTTTATGTTTTATAGTACGTGTGTGAGTGTAACGGTGTGAAGAACCTATATTCTTATTTAAAGAGTGTTGTCTTTGAATCGACTGACTTTACAAGTTATATTTGTTACAACAAACCTAAAGATGATTTGATCGTTATTGGAATGGTCTTTGTAACAAAATCCATGTTATTAATTTTGACAATTAAATATGCACTAAATTTAATACAATTAAAGATGCTATATCGTTATGACTTATGAGATAGGATGAAAATAACGACACAGCTAATCTGATAAAGAAACTAATAGTAGTAATTAACCACGTTAAATAAAAACCAAATAGTATTAAATTTGATTAGGGAAAAATGTCGTTTAATAGCCGAACTTTCAAAAAATGGCCGTTTAATACGTGAACTTCTTATATGGCCAATTTAAACATGAAGTAAACGTTGACCGGCCAATTTAAACATGAAGTAAACGTTGACCAGGCCAAAAACCACACGCCGTTATCTATCGTTAATAGATCCGATAACAGCCGTTAACGATTCCGTTATTATCTAAAACGACGTCGTTTTAGGCTTAATCGAAATCCCTAAATCCCCAAATCGACATCGTTTACTTCGTTTTCGACGCCGGCCACGAGCTTTGTCTCCGACATTCGGTTGAACTAGAATTCCATCTCCGCCACCTGGCTCTGAAACGTCTTTCGCAGGTGGAGCTTGAACTCCGTCTCCGACAACAATCTCAGATTCGCCTCGAGATTCAACTCCAGCATCCACAACACTCTCTGCTTCGCCTCGTATAGGTGATCCAATCGATTTGAAAATCAATTTGAGAATTTTCGGGGTTTAGATTAAGCCCAAAACGACGTCGTTTAGGCAATAACAGAATCGTTAACGAGAGTTTAACAGCTGTTATCGGATCTGTTAACAATAGATAACGGCGTGTGGTTTTTGGCCTGGTCAACGTTTACTTCATGTTTAAATTGGCCGGTCAACGTTTACTTCACGTTTAAATTGGCCATATAAGAAGTTCACGTATTAAACGGCCATTTTTTGAAAGTTCGGCTATTAAACGACATTTTTCCCAATTTGATTATGGTGTTCTACCGTATATTTTGCTATTTCCTTTTTTGTAATGTAAACTAAAAATGATTAAGAATTTTTCAAGTTTACCATATGATCGCTCCAATTTTCTAACTTCTTCTCCTTCTTTATGAAATCCCAATTTGCTGAACCCTCGCTCAACTTCATGGGCATCTCATTTAATCAAGGGCTGCCTATAGCGTTACACCTATACTATAGCGTTTCAACTCCTATCCACCTGTACTTTCGACCTCTGCCCAATTCACCCTATACTTGTTTTAAACTTCATAATTCCACCTAAACTATTAAATTCTCCATAATTAACCAAAATCAAGAATTCTCTATAATTGCGATCAAAAATAGTTCAAATCGCGTTTACTGTAGGCCAACCCGAGTCAGATCCGACCAACTTCGAAGACTTCTTTCACCATAAGGGTTTGACTCGTGTTCATTTGTTTTGTCGGGTCAACCTCGGATTAATATAAACACAGATTTTTTACTGCAATTTGAACGATTTTTAATCGCAATTATAGAGAATTCTTGATTTTGGATAATTATGGAGAATTTAATAGTTTAGGTGGAATTAGAAAGTTTAAAACAAGTATAGGGTGAATTGGGAAGAGGTCGAAAGTACAGGTGGATAGGAGTTGAAACGCTATAGTATATGTGTAACGCTATAGGCAGCCCTTTAATCAATCATTACCCAAAGTAACTTCATCGTTGTTGATCGATGAGATCAAAACCCAAAATAACTCTTCTCTTCTATATCTCTTTCCAAGAAAAATATCTGAAAGATGGCTCTATAAAATAAGAAGAAAGGAGTGGTTTAGAAAGAAAAAAAATTTGTTCATATTAGATGATGTTTTCAACATTTTATTGGTTTTAAGGATTTATATGATGTAAATTATTTTATTATTAGTTGAATCGTATTTAGGTAAATAATAAACGATGTTTTAGTTTAGAAATAACCAAAAATTAAATGATTATTTAATTAATCTGTGTACAAAAATCTTAAACATCATATATTTTGAAAGAAATGGAGTGTAGAATTCATGAAACACCAACCATTAGTAACCTCTCAGATTTGTGTATTTTCAAATATGATTAACGGCTCTTAATCTATGGATTCACTATCTTTTTTTTTAATATGAGATTAAAAATGAATAAAGTCGATCATTGTAGTTACATAATGACATTTGATCTATAAGAAAATCTTGTTTATCTTATTACATGATGTGGTTTCGAGTGACGCTTGGGACGAAACTAATATTACATGTTGTGGTTTCGGGCCTGGGAAGATTACGGGCTTTGGCCCAGAACTTCCTGGTATTCAAAAAAAAAAAAAAAAATTTGTTTATCCTCGATTTTTATTTTTAATATTCTGAAAATGTTGTCATTTATAAGCATATGTCACATTTTTCTAATTTTTAATTTTAAGAGATTCACGACAAGTAAATCACTAATTTTTTGTCGTACATAGAACACACCAAAAAAAAGATATTTTATTGTATTTAATATTCCGCTCTTTGCTAAGTCTCATTCTTGGGCCGACTGCGTGTTTGGCCCAACATTTATGCTGAAACTAAAAACCGAACCAAAACTTCTAACTGAAATGACTTCGAGGTTTGATCATTTCAATTTAATTTTGATGATTACAATAGAGGTTATTATGATAGAATCGATAGGCTCAAGTACTATAAAATACATTTGGTTTATAGCTCATGTCATGATGTCAAATAATTGAAATCAGAATTCACAATTCACATAAAAATTAGAAAAGATTGCAATATTCTTTTTTATTTTGCAACCCATTATTTTATTAAATTATATTTGGTGATTGTATATATAGATAATAAAGAAATATCAATTTCCACAATTAAAACTGCATAGGCAGGTCTGGTCTAATGGTTCGAATCCAGGTGGTTCACACGATCCTTTAACTCCTACTCCTTTCCACTTGGTAGAACACTCTTGGTTACACTGATTAATTTCACAGTGTTCTGCTTGAATATAGTCATGACATGTTTTTCCTTGCGTCTCCTCCATCACCATTCCTAATAATTAAAACATATACTAATATCATTTTAATTATTTTTTGTTACAAAAATAAAAAATTGATGAACAGAAAACCATAAAAAAAAAAAGAGAGAGAAACACAGAATATTTAATATATTTTAAGTGTAGAGCATACCAATAACTAAGAGAACCATGAAAATTGTGAGAGTAGTGTTTTTAGTCATCTTTGATGATACAATCAAAACAAAAATGATGGATGTAATTGTATTGTGAATGATGTGTGTATATATATGATAACTTGGATGCATGCATCTTTATTTACCAATATATTATGAATTATAAAAAAAATAGAAAGTAATCAGTTAGTAATAAAGTAGATGCTTGAATTAGTGTTAACCAAAAAAAAAGAGCGAATAAATCAGTTAGTAATTAATTAGATGCTTGAATTGGAAAAAACCATCAAAAACATATCTAGAAATTAATTAAAAGTGAAAACATATAAGCAGGTTATAAATCATAATAGATGATGACTTTAATTAAACTATCTCATAAATGAACAAAAATTTGATAAACTCAAGAAATATTAAATAGATGCTGTTAAACACATAAATATATAAAATATGAAATATATTTAATTTTTTTTAAAATATATAAAATATGGGACATATTTAATTATTAGTTTAAGTGTAGGGACAATTGCAAAAATAATTTTTTATAAGCCTTTTTAAAAAATACCCTTTCCTATTGTCCATTTATATTTTATGTACAAAATGACTAAATTACCCTTTTTAGCGAGAGCAGAAAATGAATCAAAATTAACTTTTAATATGTGTCAAAACTCTAAAAAATTAGTTATTTAGAAACAGAGGGAGTATATTTTATAGATATAAATCTACGAGAATGCATCTTGGACCATTCAATGTATTACAAAATTATCAAAATTATTGTTAGCTATATATATATATATATATATAGCTTATTGAGTTCTTAGATTATTTCATTTTAATTTATTTATTTAATATCTTTTCCTCTCTAAATATTTCAAGTATACATAATTTATTTTATATTTTCTTGTCAATTTTAAATATATTATGTACAATATTGTTTAGATATATTTTTAACATTTGGATTAGTTTCACCTATAAAATAATCAATTTTTTTTTCAATTAATAATATGTCATAAGATTCATCACTGTATTCTTTCAAACTGAAAATATATGACCTCTTTCACCTCTCATAATAATATGTCATTCACTATATTCTTTAGTAAAGACTGTATAAAACATAGGCCTAAAGTTTCAGCCCAATAAGCTAGCGAGCCAATACTAAGCCCAACAAGAAACCCAAGCCCATTTATTAAGTTGTACCAAAGTAAGTGAGATCGAGAGCATCCATGGCTTGAAGGAAAAGAAAAGTTTTTTTTTTTTTTTTTCTGTGCTTTCGTCTCTATAAACCCTTTCGACGACGAGTGAAGAAGAAAGCGAGAAGAAGAAGAAGAAGAAGAAGAAGCAAAAATGTTCAGAAACCAATACGACACAGATGTGACCACATGGAGTCCAACAGGTCGTTTATTCCAAGTGGAATACGCCATGGAAGCAGTGAAGCAAGGATCTGCAGCAATTGGACTCAGATCTCGTTCTCATGTCGTTCTCGCTTGTGTTAACAAAGCTCAATCGGAACTTTCTTCTCATCAGAGGAAGATCTTTAAAGTTGATGACCATATTGGTGTTGCAATCGCTGGTCTCACCGCTGATGGTCGTGTTTTGTCTCGGTATATGAGATCGGAATCGATTAATCACTCGTTTACTTATGAATCTCCTCTTCCTGTTGGTCGTCTTGTTGTTCATCTCGCTGATAAGGCTCAGGTTTGAAATTTGGAATCGATTATGCTTGATTTTGTGTGATTCACTGAGTTAAAAGTTCAGCTATTAGGGTATTGTTATTGTTAATTGAGATTTGGAATCAATTATGCTTGATTTTGTGTGACTCATTGAGCTGAAATTTAGCCATTAGCTTCTTGACTTTGTGCTTAGGGTTTAAAATGTGTTTTTGTATGTGGTGAATTTTTTATGATTTGGAATTAAAGCTGAGGTTAAGAGCAAGTGTTATAGGGATTTGAGCTGATTAAGACTTAAATTAACAAGATTAAGATTTGAGTTGTAGGATTTAGATGTTGTTGTCACAGCTGCATAATCTTGAATCTTGTATAATAAGGTTTACCTTTACCAAGAACATGTCATAACATTGGGAATTTAAGAATGAGTTTTGTTTTTCTTCTGGTACTTTGACTTGTTATTGCTCTTGTCATTAAGAGGATATATTGTCGTTTCGTATAATATTTGGAGTGAGGTCTTATAAAACATTCACTTTAACATTAGGATGCTAGAAGACTGAGTTTTTGTTTTGCTTCTGGTACTTTTATTGTGTTTGTGCGGTTGTCGTCACTAAGAGAATCAATCAACTTTCATTCGTTTAAGATTTGGATTTCGGTCTTCATTTGTTGTATAGTGTTCCATTTGTTGGCTTTATTCGCATTTTGTTATCACCTCCTTTCACTTGTCTTACCAGTCATTACTCCTGTTATATGTTGTTCTACAACTTGCTTATTATTTTTTGCTACATCTCTTTTCTGTTTTGCGTCTAACTAATGGCTTTTTAAGTTAGCTGTTGTATTCACAACTGCACAAATGCTTTTCTGATATATCTTACTTCTGTTGATGTATGAAACACATTTGCTGTTGTATTCCTGTTTTTAAGTTGGTTTGGTACAAAGCTACTGGGAAGAGCTCTTATCTATCATCTGTATTTCTTAGTTGGTTTCGTTGGTTTGCTCTTATAGTAGGAGAGATTTTGCTAGACAGGGTCCAACTTAAGTTACATTAATATCATTTATTTTTCATCGTCACCAAGGTTTTTTTCTTCATCTGAAAAAGAGAATTTTGTGTGTTCGTCTTATGAACAGGTCTGTACCCAACGATCATGGAAACGACCCTATGGTGTTGGTTTACTGGTAGGTGGATTGGATGAGTCTGGTGCCCATCTTTACTACAACTGTCCAAGCGGAAACTACTTCGAGTACCAAGCTTTTGCTATTGGATCCCGTTCCCAAGCAGCAAAGACCTATCTGGAACGCAGGTTTGAGAGCTTTGGGGATTCTTCAAGAGAAGATCTGATCAAAGATGCTATTTTGGCTGTTAGGGAGACATTGCAAGGAGAAACACTGAAGAGTTCTCTCTGCACAGTCGCTATTCTAGGAGTCGATGAACCGTTCCACTTCTTGGACCAGGAAGCGATACAGAAAGTGATCGACACATTTGAGAAAGTGCCTGAGGAAGAGGAAGGCGAAGGTGAGGCTGGTGAGGGTGAGGCTGAAGCTGCCGCTGCTGCACCAGCAGAACAAGGTGGTGGTGGTGCAGGTGACGTTGCTCCAATGGAAATGTAAGGCTTATGTGTGTAACGCTGGAACTATTTTATTTTGATGTTAGTTGGATTTACTTTGCAAATGGCTGCGGGTTTAGATTATATGCTTGAGAACCTCGTGAAGTTGAAATCATTTCGTCATATAAACTTTGTTGCTGCCATTAAGACTTTCTCCTATTTTGGATCTTTTGGTTTAAATCTGAAATCTGTTCACGACTTCCTATCTCATTGGTTCTGCAATTCCTTGCTAAAACAAATTTCTAGTCCCATTAGCTAGGCTTGTCTAGCAGGCCAAGCTCGCCCTGCCGATGGCTTTAAACAAAATTGACCCGCAAAGCCTTGACCCGGGAAATCTGCATTCTTTCCCTCAATTATCGAGACTTATAGTTGTACGTACTATGATTTAGGCAGCTCATCTTCCTATAACGAAGTCAGATCTTTTTCCATACCATAGTATCGATTCTATCAGAATAGAATCGATTTTCTATTCTGATAGCTAGCGTACCGGGCGGCCGCAGCGAGCAAACTATCAATCTCGTAAGGAAAAAAAATTAAACTATCCCCATTTTCTATGCTTTTGTTAGTTAACAACTTACAAAGACTTCTATCCGACAACAACTCACAAAAACAAGTTTCATGCTTAGTAGGTTTTTGATGTTTCCGCTACTTGTGTATGTCTGTAAACGTCTCTAAAAATTCAGAAAATTGTGTAAAACTTAACAATCATACCAAAATAAAAGTTTCATGCCTTTAGTAACAGAATGATATTTTGGTCTATGTTTTTCTTAAATCGTAAATCATCTTCCTCCAAACGTAAAATTAGTCTCACACACATCCGATAGTAATAATACACCTTTTTAAGCTCAAAGTTTGTTAAATATTAAAAGTAGGCCTGGGCAAATTAACCGAACCCAATATACCGAACCGAAACTGGAGTAAAAAACCGAACTGAACTGAACCAAAAATTTGAAAATAACCGAATAGATACTAAATTCTATAACCGAAAGAACCGTAACCGAATTGGTACCGAACCGAAATATTCTGGTAACCGAAAATACCCGAAATACAATTATATTTTCAAAAATATTAGTTATTTATAGACCAGATAATCAAAAATACTTGAAAAATATATAAAAATAGTAAAAATACTCAAAAATAACCAAAAAATATCCAAAAATAACCGAAATATCCAAAAATATCCAAAGCAAAATAACCGAATACTAAAATTTAAAAGCGAAAGAACCGGAACTGAACCGAAACCAAACCGAAATTTCAAAATTCCCGAATGGATACTAAATTTTAGAACCGAAAAAATCGAAATCGAATAAAACCGAACCGATAACCGATCGGATAACCGAACGTCCATGACTAATTAAAACCAAACACTCATTAAGTTGATGTTAATTTCAACTTATGATAAAAATCATTAGTTCGACGTCATTTAGTCAAATAGAAAATATAAGTGGCCCCATACATGGTGACAACTACGAAAGACTTTGGATAATGGGAACCATGTAAACCAGACCCATTGACTTTGCCGTCTCTCTCAATCATTCGCTTATCCACCATTTGTTTCCGTATTTACCATATAACTATCAAAAGGAAAATGATCAAGAGTCTATAATTGTATGTAAGAGCTAGTGTCTTATATAAAATTAAATTAACGAAGAACAAACATGTTTTTGGTGCGTGAAAACATTTTGAATTAAACATACTAAACGCCGTCGAATCGATTAGAGAAATTCGAAAATTTTCTAGCTAAACTTATCACGATTTGATCTCGGAAGTTGAAACAGTAATCAACTTTTGCGCCTAACATAATCGATTTTACCATATGAAGCAAATAACAATTTATGATTTCATGATTTTTGACAATAATTATGATTTTTTTTTTGGGTACCATGACATTAAATTTTTTATTATATAAAAAAAAAATTGACATGCAACTTAATAAAAAAATCTTTAGTCAAAAAATAATTATTTTGGTTACATCCAAACATAGCATTTGAATGCATTTACCATTCCGGCCAATAAATAAATACACTACATGAAGATAAGTTGCATCCGAACGCATAAACGAATAACATCAAGTCCTTTGGTACCAAATATGGATTTAAAAATCGTCACTTGGACCAATGACAAAAAATGGACTAAGAATAGATTGAACCGGACCCAAAATTATTTCCAAACAACCACCATCCTAACCACCGTATACTATATGTTAATCTAACAATTTGTTGAAATGCTTGACTTCATGCGAGATTATTAAAACCTACAATAAAATAAAATAAACAATGAAGAAAGTGTTGAGAATGTTATGCAAACATGGCCAGCTCGACTTTTATTTGTTGGAAGAAGTTGTCTTCTTCTTAAACCATTTTTGTATTTTGTGGTTGATTCTTAAGGATGAAACAAACATCAATCTTTGGTCAGAAAAAAAAAAATTTAATTGTTGTTGAGAAATGAAAGGAAGGGCCTATGTATTGATCTTCTTCTTCTGGGCTCTTCTCACAATTATCACCCCAATGCTTGTTAGCTGGTCTCAAGCTCTCAAAAATCTTCCACCACTCTCTCATGATCAAGGTATTCCTCTTAACAATCTTGTTACATCAAACTTCATATACTAGTCAAGAAGATGATCGTTGACTCGGTGTTCCAAAGGGAGTTGTCCCTTGCATCTCCAATTCAATATCACTTGAAAGGGATGATTTACGCGCTAATAAGGGTATTATCAAATGCTTGTCCCGGTCCTTAGGAGGCTACGGGCTCAGCGGAAAACGTTTTGGTTAATAAAAGTGAACGTTTTAGTTTATTTCTATAGTTATTAGTGACCATTGTGTTCCTCCTAATATTCAATGTTTTAAAATGGATTTCAGAACAAAAAATCAAAGACTCCAGTCCAAGGCGAATGATGGGATATTCAGAAGAAATGCATTTGGCACAAGAGTTTGTTAGTTACATAAAAGAAGAGAAGTTGATGATGGTGCCGTCGATGGCGCCAACGCCTGAAGATAACCCTGTTATGCCTTCACTACTACCTTTCTTGCGGATAAAACAACAAGAAGGATTAGTCGCTGAACGGACACATCTCACGAGATTGCGATGATTATAAAGGAATTCTTTCTTTCTTTGTTTATTTTGGCGGTTATCTAAATTATCTTCTTTGATCAAGTAAGTGTTCATAATGACTCACATTTGTTTTTTTTGAATTATTATACGAAACCTAATTAATCATAATCATGGCGAGAGCAGTTCTTATGTATATGTAAAATTTGCATCCTTTTGGCAAAAGCCAATGGTAAGAAACTTCTTTTCGCGTTATGATTTCTATTTTTGTGATTAGAAAGATAGAAAAAAAATAATCTATATATACATTTTTGGATCACAATTAGCAAATAAATCCTGAAGTTGAAAAGTATTTACAATGACATGCCATTAGCATTAATTATTTAGATTTGTTTTATTTAAGTAAAGATTTTTAATTGAAATTCATTTCTCATATATTTAGCAAAAGTCTCTACAAAATCTTTCCTTATCTATTTAAGTAAAGATTTTGGCATTTATTATTACTTTTACAAAATTTAAATAAAAGATATTAACCAAAAAATATCTTGCCTAATTTGTTTCTAAAAATCTCTACACAATCTTTCCATATATCTTCAAAAAAATTTATAGCAAATATTTATATTAACATTTTGCATAGCAATAAAAATACTAATTTATAATAATCAAAATATTCACATAGAAAAATCAAATACACATACAGGAAAAAGAACTATATCTATCATCATTTAAGCCGTTGCTTTATTTAAATTAAAAAAAAAACACAAAAACTTGAAATCATATACTTTATATGATAAATTTAAAATATATATTAGTAGTATAAATTTAAAATCGTTCAAAGAACGGTATACTACGGGTGAGATCCTAAAATTATTAGATTTTATAACAATAATAATTTATTTTCTTGGATTTTATAATACTAATAATTTAGCTAACGAGATAATATAGACGGGTTTATATGGGATGACGGGTTTGGGTCGATAATAATAAATAACGGTATATCACGGATGAAATCCTAAAATTAACAATCAAAATACAATTATACAATCTTAAACACAAAACAAAAGAAACAATATTAACAAAACAAATCCAACTTAAATTTAAAATTTTTAGTTATAAAAAAACTGACCCACGGTATACTGCTGAGTAAAATATTCAAAATTTTAAAATCCACCATACATCGTTACTTAAAAAAATGTATGTTTTCGTATCTATACTTCAAAAATTGATAGATAGATATCTACATTTAAAAATACAAATTAATATGATATATCTTTAGTTAATCTTTTAATAAATAACATTACATTTTTTTAAAAAATATAGCCCCGCGGTATACCGCGGGTTCAAATCTAGTAATTAGTGTATAATTAATTTAACAATATTAACATACAATCAAGAGTTGGTGAAGAAATAAATAGACAATCGATAGATAAACTCTACCAAACGTCATGGATGTCATTATATAAGATTGTCTGGTGTACATCTCCATACAACTGTATCATCTCAATGTGAGGCAATCTACATCGGACGGAGATGAAGTAGCATCCGGAAAACAGTAATTTTCGTCAATTTTTGTACCCAAATGACGAGTCCAAGTTTGTCAATTGGTAGTCAAATGTTGGTGGGTAGCCAAATGTTCGTCAATTTTGCCTCCGTGTAAATCTTCAAGACTAGTCTGGATGTGTCGAGTTTAATTAATTAATTGCAATCGTGCATTGAAGGAAGGTGGTAGTAATAACGAGGTCGGGGATTAAATACTAAGAATGTCGTACACCAACGAGATATGAGGAATGAACTAAGCTAAGAATCGTTTAGAATTGTTTTTGTTGATTTTCTCAAGACTAAATATGAGTGATCTAAAGTAACGTGTTGTGAACAAAAACAAAACAACTGGATAAACACAGGTAAGTTAAAATAGTATAAGTAATTAAGAAATTAAACAACCAACAAAATATGCACATTAAAACTCTCCTATTATATATAGACTAGATTTTATATCCACACATTACTAGGGATTTTAATTTAAAATATCTTCTATTAATTTAAATTTTGAGCATAAAATAAAATCATTAAAATTTAAAAGATAAATATTTGAGTATAGATATAATAATTCAAATTTTAAAAGATAAATCTATATAAACACTAAATTTATTTTACGAAACGATATAAAACATATATACATATCGTCGACGATAATATTTCTTTGACAAATAAATAGTTTGATATATCACGTGGTAACAAAGAACACTTAAGAAATTCGCGGGAAGAATAAGCGGTATCTACAACCATCTCATGATCTTTTATCGCTAAAAAAGTTTATTTCTTATTCATATTCCTTGAAGACATTTCTTTAAAATTTTTGACGTTAATTATCGATTGTTGACCTAATTGTAGATATTATTTATGATTAAATGTTGATATGAACATAACATCATTCCATATAAAATGTGAATATATCGGGTTTCATGATCATTATCTAGTATAGTATTTTGAAGGAATGCGAACCTCAAAAAATCAGAAAGAGAATATAGTATCTTGGAAGACTACGAAAAAACATAAAAACATTCTCGATTGGGTCACTCTCGATAAGAATGATGAATTTTTCTACATGCCGGAAGAGCGTTGGAGTTTCACATTAGAGAAGCTCGTGAATTACTTTCGAAGCATCAAGACAACTCCACTACCTTATCCAAAACCTCTCGAAAAGTATATCGACAATACCCTATGAACCCAGAAGAAGATATTGATCCTCTCACTTGGATGAGATGGTTTTTTTCATCGAAATTTGAACCAACAGAACGTAGTTATAGTGTGTGGAAGCAAATCTATAACCGCAAAGATTGTTAATTTCTGTACCACCGAACGTATCAGCATCAAGCAAAAATTTAAAGTTAAAAAAAGAAAAGTAAGTTAATCTGTTTTGATGAATATATAAATTAATTTGTTTTGTTGAATATGCTAACTTGTCTCTTGCAGGCCATCATAGTACGAGTTTTCAACCTTTAGTACAGATTAAGAACAATAATTTAAGGAAACTCGATGGTGTTGTTGAAACTCCGGAAACTTCAAAAGTTGATTTGTTTAGTTTTGGTTGCATTTTGTTTTACAAGTTAACTTTGGGTGAGCCTCCGTTTGGAGCTCCTCATGGTGCAATACCTCGAGTAATCGATACATATATCTGTCAGAATAAGCTCGCGCTCAACCACGGTAAAATTGAAGAAGCTAATATTCTTGTCGCCTCATAACAATAAAAAAATCATTGAAATCATAATACACACAAGTTTCAATTGATTTATTTTGAATTTTATGATGTCTCAGATACTTTATAGGGGAACGAAGAAGAACGATTCAAAGAATAGAAGAATATTATCGAGAGAGATATCCTAAGTTACTGATGAGAGTCTATTGAGTTGTTCTCACACACAAGCATGGGGTTGATGCGGAATTTGGAGAGTACATTACAAAGTACTATGTATGAAATATCAGAGAAATGATGTTTTTAGGAGAAGAATGAATGTGTTTTTTGCTACTACATTTTACTCATACATTTGAGCTTATAGAGCCATGAGTCATGCATAATGTCTAAATGAATGTCTAAGCTTGTTAGTATCTATTTTCTTATTCATAATCTCTTTCGTTTTGAACTCATGTGAAAAAAAAAAAAAAATAGGATTTGAGTCTATACTTTTCTTTGTTCCGTCTCTTTTGGAAAAAGCTGACTGACGGTTATGCAACTCATTAACACAATAAAAATTTTGAAGTATGATCATTTTTTTATTTTTATATGTTAAAAATTGATATTATTCTATTATTACTATTGATAAAAATTTTGTATAATTTTTTTTCTAGCTAATTTCATTGATATCAAATCGAGATTACATAGTCAATATACAAAACTTTCGAAAAAACCAGATATATGCTCCATATAATAAGAAAGATACATAAAAAAGTGAATTTGACGATGTTTTCGTAGACAAACTTTACTCGCTAATGGATTATTAAACCCATTATTTTCCTTCATATTCGACCTGCCTACGCACACAATTCGCTTAAAATTTTCATAGTAATATTTTTCTTATTTTAACATCTTATTTATTCTACATATTTCGTTTTTAATTTATTTAAATTTTCTTATTAATTATATATATGTAATATAAATATGAACTAAATTAATGTTTAAATTTATTCTATTATAAATGAAATAGTGTTACTTAAGTGGATGCTTAGATGGACATCATAGATGGAGAGAGAACTCCTTAATCATACATATAAAAGTACGGTTTCACTCTCCCATGATTGGTCCACTTGGGAATGTAAATGTTTTTAAAATATTTTCAATTAAACCACAAATAAAATACATTTAATTATACAAATTTAATTCACACTTTAATACAAAATTGAAATCATATAAATTATGCATTAACTATATTTTCCACTCAATTTTATTCAACACACAATTAATTAGAAATGTAACTCCCATATTTATTTTTAAAAATTGTAACTCATATCACTTCTCATCCTATAAATACTCATGTTTTCATGTTCTCATTCTCTCATCCTCTTCCACTATATCGCAAACCTTTTTTATTTATTGTTTTGTGTTTTTTTATTTATTTTGGTTGTGGTTGGTGTTGTATAGGTTAAAAAACTCAAATTAAATATCATTGTAAAAGCTTAATTCTAAATTTTAATTTCTACATTAGTTTTTGATTTTTTTAAAGATTCGTCTCCATTATATATTTTAGATTATCATCTTATATGTAATGTTTCTCTCATCCTCTTCTACTATATTTTTCGTTTTTGTTATATGGGTTAAAATCAATGAAAACATCATTGTAAGAATTTTTTTCTAATTTTCTCTCAATTTTTATTTGTTCCTAACACCATACTAGATTATACCTATTTCTTCTTTAATTTTTATATTTTTAATTTTAAATTAACATATGTAAGATAAAAGTTTTGATGGCTATAACATAACTTTTAGGGTTTTTTGTGATGGAAAGTTAAAAATATCAATTCTAATCATCGCACCACAAGGGAATGAAGTTGAAAAGATCTATCTCTATTATTTACGTTGGATATTTGATTATTTTCTAACATCTTCATGTATTTTTTTTGTTATGCAATATACAATGAAATAAATTATTCTAATACATCTATCAAATACTTTCTTCGTACCTCTTTCTTATCTCGAATAAATTTTTGTACTGTAATTTATTTTTAATATATGTATCAATATATTTAGTTTATATTTAGTTTTTGTGATCCAATAGATAATTGTATTAAAATTATTATAATGTTTATTTTATTTAAAATTTGAAGTTTAAGTGTTTCTCAAAAACAAAAAGAAATTTATTAAACAAATTTGGTCCTTAAGATTAAAAAAATTATATGAATTCATATGTTTAATGAAAATTATATTTAGTTAGTAGAAAATTAGATGTAATCATTAGAATGAAACCTAGAACTCATACTTAAATGGAGTGAAATATAGAAAAAAACTATAATTAAAGTAAAATTTTTTTTACTAAATCCTATAAACATAAAACGATTAGTGTGAAATCTAGCACTAGAATTTCAATTGATGGGTGAAATTAAACAGATTAGTACCTAAAATTTATAGGAATCAGACCGATTAGTACCTAAAATTTATCGGTTTAATTTATCGATTAGTACCTAAAATTTATCGGTTTAATTTATAGAATTTCACGGGTATATAGGAATCAGACCGATTAGTACCTAAAATTTATCGGTTCTTACTCGGTTCTTCGATCAAGTATCCGAACCTACCCGAACTGAATAAGTTACGAACAGGAACCAATCCGATTAGTATTCGGTGTCTTTATGGATAATAAACTCCCTAACCGAATGAGTAGTACCGGAACCGAAACGCCTAAGACTACGTCACATTACATTACACAGTTGGTTATTACTTATTAGCCAATAATGAACTTGTTATTTATACATTACACTACACAGAATTACACTAAACTACCAATTAAAAACAAACTAGAATGCAAAAATTTAGAAAAAAGAAAAAAAAAAAAAAAAGCAACACAATTAGAGTTTGGTAAATAATCATTAATCAGTTCTTATCTTTGTGATTATTCATCCAAATCCTAAAATTCTTCCGATTCACTCCAATCTCTACACAAAACTCTTCAACCTCCTCTTGCCTCTCAGGTCTCACCTTCCACCGTAGCTTCTCCGCGTAACCCCTCATTTTCTCCGTCTGCTCCGCCGTAAACTTCGTCTTCAATCTCTTCACTCTCCCCACCTCCTCCTCCTCCTCCTCCGCCGCTAACTCTCCACCGCCAAATCGATCTTTAACAACCCGATCTCCTCCATAACTCTCCTTCTTTCCTTTGCTTTTTCCGCCGCCGTAAGGTGAGCAAAAGATCCGACGAAACTGATACGACGAAATCTTGAGAACTTCAAGAACCGTCTCAGTAACGCCACCGTTCTCCGGAATGGACTCTTCACGGTGGAAGTTCCGGTGACAACCGCATGCAGCGCAGTTTAAAGAAGCTCCTTCTACGGTGGAGCTAACAAACTCGCCGCAGCCGTCGTATGCGGTGGTTCCAATATCGGCGGCGTGATTCTTCCTGCATTCACCGTAGTGTGGCTTGTGAGTGACTTTGAAGATTGATTCGAGGATCGGTGGTGGCGCGTGATGAGCACGTGTGGATTTGGGTTTGGTTTTGCGTGTTGGAGGATAATGGACGTGGTCTCCTGTTTCACGGCATATGGCTGTGGCATTACGACGACGTTTGGAATTTTCATCTTTCTTTGGTTTTATCTCATCCATTGATGATGAAGAAGAACAAGAGAGAAAATGAGATCAGTGGAGAGAGTCGATACTTTTTAGGCTCGTTGTTGATAGTGACTAGTGAGTGACTAGTGACCACTGACCAGTCACAAATTCCGTTTTCCAACAAAACTTGTGTTTAACCGGGAATAAATTACGTTAAATAACTCAAATCGATGAAAACCGGAAGGTTCGGTTTGGAATTTCAGGTGGGATAGTTTGGTTTGGAACCTAATTAGGCCAAAATTAAAGTTTGGTTCGGTTTAGAAGTGAGCTGAAGTGAAGAAAAGTGGAGGAATCTACTACCGGTCTAGTTAAACCGATTGGTTAGGGACGAACAAACCAAACCAAGAGCCCATTAACCTAAAACAAACCTAATTACTTAAACCTCGGTTCAGCTAGTTCGGTTTACTTCAGTTTGGATTTAGTGTCCAGTGTAGTTTGTATCATCTCCTACTTTTATGTTAGGGTGCGTTTGAATGGTTAGCTCTAAGCCTCTAATGGTATCACGCATTTATCAATGTGGTACGAGATTACCGATTCCAATCTAAGGGTTTAGTCAGAAACAAGAGGTAGTAAAACAACTGCATAACCTAGTTTGACAACATAATCCTCACATCATGAATACACCAACATTCAAAGACAGAAATGGGATGTAACCTAGCTTGCCAATACTTCCTTTATCATTTTCTCAGTCAATTCTTTTGGCAGACCCATCACGCTATCTGTTGTCCCAACCTGATACAACAAGACAACCTAGTTTAACATTCATGCTCCAAAACAGTATAAAAGAACAAGAGACATGAAACCGTATGATAACTTGTTATCTTTTATGATGATGAAGGATAAGAGTCTAGACTCGAATCCAAGAAAAATCATGCTATGGTTCGTATTATGTTAAAATGCAGAAGGCAAGGAAACCAACCACTTCCTTAACACACGGCAGTATAAGAGGATGTTCGATTAGGAGTGCACCAGCTACCTTAAGCACCATGCCTTCCTCAATCTACTCATCAACACAGCCTTAGCTTAGTAGAAGTAATATTGATAGGGTGAAATACATGTCTTAAACTTGTACCAAACACCACTCACCAGTTTCTCGATAGTCTCTTCCGGTATTTCATTGAAATAGATCTGTTCAGAATTTACATCATCAGCTCGCGCTATATATTTCTCAAATTGTAAGAAACGCAACTTTAATGAAACACACAATTAAAATGTTACCTCCACTCTATCGACGCCTCCTTTTCTGACTCCTGTTTTGAGATTTGTCACAGCCACAGAACTCACTGTTGCTGTGTGCCCCTTGGAATAGCCTGTGTTTTGAATTTAGATGAATGACTTAAGCCTTGAATTCCAGTAACCAAGGAAGATCATGCGAGCTTACCTCTTATGTACTCCCTTGCTTCTTCAACACTCGAGGGTTTCTCTCTGACAGCATCTTCATAGACGACCACCTTCATACAATTCAAAACATTAAATCAAAGTCTCTCATAGACTATCTAATACCACCAAATTCCATTCATGTCCTTAGAATGCCCCATCTTTCATTAGTCAACTCCTATAAATTACAAACCAACTAACAACTTATACAATCTTAGCTCTTCAGACTCCATTTAATCACTAACCTGACCTAATATGGTTGTCCATTATAGCTAGCTAGTTGATAGTATCAAAGTAACGAAAGTTCAAATATAGATCAGTACTTGGTCACAAGTAATAAGTAAGGTCGACTTATCCTCCTCTATGTTGTCACCATCAGCGATCTGCTGCATGATTGCTTCAGCCTGGGAAAAAATTTCGCCGGTTTATTAATATGTCTGATGAAGAGGAAATACTATATGAAACACCTTTGGTTATATGGTGGCCTTATATAAGATATATGCATGTAAGAGATCCTTCCAGTTAGTAAAAACTCTGGCAGAAATAATAATGTGCCGAGATGAACTACAAAACATGTAGCCAGAGCATAAAGATTTTAAATTGCATTTCCAAAGAAAATGCCACACAGAAGATAAACAAGGAAGATCAAGACCTAGACAATAACACAAAATAGCCGGAGAGTAGGATTATAGAGGACCCTAAAGAGATAAAAATCCATAAGGCAACTTCTGGTGCCGGACATTCAAAGCAGAGCTATTGAGAATGTGTTTTGCTAAGAAGATGATGCATCCACAGAAACATAAAATGGAACTTGGTGATAGTAGATGGAGGACTTTACTAGTACATAGCTAAACCAAAAAACTACATACTGTATCCGATGCAATCAAGATTGTCGGTTGTTCCTCATTCACACATTCAGTAGTTTGTAGTTTCGACACTATAGCATCAGCCTGTGATGCAGTTTATAAATAAACAATGGGAAACAAGAAACGAACATCAACAAGATTAACAAAGCGAACAATATATAAACCGAAGAAACCATAAAAGTAACCATTTTTTTGCAGATGACTAAAGAAGTTACCTTTGCTTCAGCTAAAGCCAAAACCAACTCTTCAGGTTTCTCTTTACGAATGCTTTTCTCATCAATATCAGCACTCTACATTCATAATTTACAAGTGAAACTTCTACTTGAACTATATAAAAATGGAGTCTTTAATATAATTCAAAGGAACAAGAAATTAGAAATTACCATGAGAGTAAATTGGTATCCCATGTCTGTTAAAATCTGACGTCGAGCAATCGAAGAAGATCCCAAAATTAGCTGCAAAAAAATATTCCCAAGGTTATAGCTGTTTGTACCTAGGTTGCAACAATAATAATATACGAGATTTTGGGGGGTGAACGGAGCTAGTCCTTTTATTAACGATATAAGCGATCAAGAGATTACAAAATGCAAGTTTCGCCGCGGCGGTTATAGACTATCCGCCGAGCCGAACACTTAACGTACAAAACAGAAAGACAGAATACGAAAACGAGCGAAGCGGCGAAACTCGGGCTAGGCGACGAAGTCGGGCTAGGCAACGATTTCGGGCTAGGCAACGATTCTTCTTATCTGCTAGTTAATAACCTCTGGATCGGATCCTGTTCCCAATAGTGATTTTGGCTATTTATAGGGAACAGGAACCCTAAATTCCTTCTGTCTCCTCTGTAAATGACGGTTTTGCCCCTCCAGGCTTAGTGGGCTCTTTATAGTGACCAGGGCCCGTTATAAGCTTGTAGACATTTGTTTTGGGCCTCCTAACATATATGGGGCAAGGCCCATGTCCAACAATAAGCCCCCCCCTTAGTCCGTCGTGCAAGAGTGTGCTTGAGCTTGACGGGCATGTCTTCGAGGTTGAAATATGTTAGTTGGGCGCAAAACAAAGTATGACTTGAATAAATCGTCTTGTAGCCTTTGCCTGCTTTTTGAGACAAACGAAAACTTTTCCGGGTGAATAGTGACTTCGGCACGTTTTTCGAGGCGAACCAACACTTCTCCGGGTGAACAGTAACTTTGGCACGTTTTTCGAGGCGAACCGAAACTTCTCCGGGTGAACAGTAACTTTGGCACGTTTTTCGAGGCGAACCAAAACTTTTCCGGGATAACAGTAACTTTGGCACGTTTTTCGAGGCGAACCGAAACTTCTCCGGGTGAACAGTGACTTCGGCACGTTTTTCGAGGCGAACCGAAACTTCTCCGGGATAACAGTAACTTTGGCACGTTTTTCGAGGCGAACCGAAACTTCTCCGGGTGAACAGTGACTTCGGCACGTTTTTCGAGACGAACCGATACCTTCTCGGGAGATTTGTGACTTCGGCACGTTTTTCGAGACGAACCGATACCTTCTCGGGAGATTTGTGACTTCGACACGTTTTTCGAGACGGGCTAGGTTGTGCATCCAGAGAATTAGGTCAATAGTTTTACCTCGGTAAATGTGCAATGTCTCCTCCTTATAAATATGTCTCCCATTTTCTACTTTAACCTTTTCTTCACATCTTCTTCTCCAAAGGTAAAACTCATCTCTCTCTCTCCCTTTTCACTAGTTTTTTTTTATTTGGTTTGGTCATGGGTTGCCGAGGGCTCGCCGAGCCGCGGGACGTGCTGCACCGGACGTGCCGCACCGGACGTGCCGCACCGGACGTGCCGCACCGGAGTTCGCCGCGCCGAACGAGCTTGCCGCGCCTCGGGAGTTCACGTATCTCGCCGTGCCGCACCGGAGTTTGCCGCGTCTCGGGACGCGCCGGAGTTGTCTTGCCGCATCGTGAGAGCCTTGCCGATTTGCGTATTGCCGAGCCGGACCGCGAGTTGCCGTGACGGACCGCGAGCTGCCGAGCCGCGTTGGAGTTCCCGAGCCCACGTATCGAACGGGTGGTTCGCTTAGAACCTTGTCGTGGGTTACTTTGCCGCACCAAGGGTCCACTGCCATGCCGAGCCGCGGGTTTGTTGATCCGCCGCGGCGACGCCTTGGTCGAACCACGTCGAGCCGAGAATTGTTGATCCGCGGAGGTTTGGTGCCTCATCGAGACTGAGATGGTGTTGCTTAAACTTTGATGAGTGCTTTCGGTTTGTCTTGTCTTGTCTTCGTGATGTGCTGACGATGAGGCGACATGGTGGTGAAACGACGTTGTTGCGAGGTGGGCCTAATTCACGGCCGGTTCTGTTTAGTTCGTGACGAGTCTCTGATTCGTGTCTTGGTTGGTTTTGCAAGGTTCCATTCGATGTCTCGTTTTCCGGAAGACTACGTTCGCGAAGAGTTGGAGGTTGACGAATATCGCCAATTGGAGCAAACGTTGGATGGTTTCGGAGCGGACCAAGATGCATGGATTGAACAAACGGAGGCTGGTGATACTCTTGCCGATTTGAACGAGGAAGATGCGCAATATCTCGATAGCCTATTAGCTCCGGAGAATGTGGAGGCCGGGCCAAGTTCCAGTCGTCGTGGAAAGATTTTTGAGCACTTGGTTCGTGAGGTGACACCGATCGTGATGGGTTTGAGGGCTCCGAGCACGACTACTAATCCTCGTAAGAATCGTAGTAGGAAAGCCGAAGCAGTGATTGAAGAGAGTTCAACCGAGACTTGTTTTTCGTACGGTCATGGGAAGTCGGCGAGCACTTTGGATTCGTTGAAGAAAATGTTTACACAATGTCAGCTGCCTGCCAACGTGGAGTTTCTTGTGCCCGAAGCGCACGAACGTCCTTCTGATTGTCCTGATGGATACATATGTGTTTATGAACCCTATTTCACAGAGTGCGGGCTCTGGTTTCCTCTTCCAGAATTTCTCACGAGTTATTGCAGTCGGCGGAATATCGCGTTTTCTCAGCTGTCTGTGGCTAGCATCCGGAACGCGGTCGGCCTCGTAATAATGGCGGCGGAGGAGAACATAGTTGTGAATCTTAACCTTTTCGAAGCGGTTACTACATTTTCGATTGGACAGAAAAATCCGGGCATTGTTTGCGCAAGTTCGAGGCGACGTTTTAAGATTGTCTATGATGCTAGGAGGAAGACGAATGATTGGAGGAAACGCTACTTCTTTGTGAAGTTAAACGAAGCGTCGGTTGAAGATATTCATCTGTCTTGTGATAACGTGTGGAAGATGGATCCTGGTAGTTCTTAGTTGGTCCGGACTCGACAAGGTTTGTTCCTTCACTGATTATTGATAAATTTCTTTTTGTTGGTATTGCAGGGTTTGCAGAACGGCCAGACGGGTTGACTGACGGTGATCGTTCAAGTCTTGATATTCTTCGGGCGAAGAGAGCTTTATCTTGGCCGCACGTTCTTGATCATTTTCGTACTTGTGAGTGTTCTTTTATCGTTCTTACGTTCGTCTAGGCCCTCGCTATTGCGTTTCTTACGTAGAATTTTTCTTGTAGGTTCTTACTCGTGTTTGAGGATGGGTGATTGCGTTCTTCCAAGTTACGCTGATCAGTTTGATGAAGACGTCGCGCCTTTGAACGGGAATGGTCCGCAGGGGTTGGTTAACGAAGCGGGTCAGGGTGTGTTTGTCGAGGCAGTCGTGGCAGAAGACGCGCGTGCCGAGCCAGAGGCGTCTCGTCGAGCTAGGTCGGCGGAAGTTGATGCCGCTCGTGCTAGGAAGAAAGTCTCGAGAGGGGCGACGGGGAGTGCTCCTCCATCTGCCGGGGGTGGACGTTCGCGGAAGAGGACTTCGCGTCGTAGTCCAGAAGCTGGGCCGTCAAACGTCGGAAGATCTGCCAGGCGCGAAGAACCAGTTCGGGAAGCCTGTGAAGGAGTCGATCATTCGTTTTCCTTCAACTATGGCGCGAAGAATCACATGTTTCATTACGATGGGGATGCCTGCGCGGAGTTGGCGAGTAAGATTCGCGGTGATTTCACTGAGTTTCCTCGTGTCGATTCTCTTCTTGGGGCGGATCTCTATCGCGATGTAGCTCGTCGGAATTTTCAGGTTTGTTTCTCCTGTCTTTGCGTCCCTTTAGTATTTTCGTGCGCTTCCGGATTCTGACTTTACGTATCTTACAGTCGATGAGCCAGATGAACCGCTTGGTCGGTTTTTATGAGGAGAAGGTGAGGGCCGCTATGAGGGAGAACGATCTGCTCAAGGCTGCTCTGGAAGCTGCCAAGAGGTCCGTCGCTGCTCGTACGGGGGACTACGAGTCCGAGAAAGCGAAGGTTGGCGGTCTCGATTTGACGATAAGCGAACTTAGGGAGCAACTCAAGGCTGCTAAGGCGAAACTTGCGTCGGAGGTTGCGAGGCTTAGGAAGGCTCGTGACGAGATTGCTGCAGTGGAGCGTCACAAGGCGGAAGTTGAGGCCGCGGATAACCATGCTCGCATAGAGAGGCTGAGAAAACATATAATCGGTCTGCGCGCCCAGAGTATTCCTAAGTATACGCTCTGCCAGGTGAAGGGAATTCAGGAGTGCCTTGAGAAGATGATCAATAAAGGGACGGTTATTCCTGAGGAGAGGATGGCGAGATTGGCGGCGGATCGTCCGGCTTGGCAGCGAAGGTTTGACGAGATTGTGGTTCCGGACATTTTCGAGAGTGACCTCGAACCCCTTCAGGTGCCACCAAGAGACGGTGCTAGAGGTGCCAATGAGTGATTCGCCTATTACTTGTTTCGTATGCTTGCGTTTTATTTCCCTTTCCTTTGTTGCTATGAACTTTGTCCGGCCGTTTGTGGCTCGTTGGACCGGCGTTATGTACTTTCGGCCCTCTGTTGGGTCTTTGCCATGAACTTCGTTTGTTTCCTTTTAGTCTCATGACTTGGTGATCATTTTGACTTTGTTATTGCTTGTTTCTGGTTATTATCGTTGTTTTTGCGCGAGGCGTGGCTCGGCTTTATTTACGCAGCTCGGCTTCGGTACAAATATTACAGGGCAAGACGTCTCTTGGCTTATCTTATATGTTTGTTTCGAAATGCCGAGTTTAGGACGGTGTAGTCGAGACGGACTCGTCGTACTTTTTAGGTGCGGCTCTGGTGTCCGGCTTACCCTGTGGGTGCTTTGAGGTCGGCAAGAACGTGCAAGCCGGGGCTCGGCTTATTGGTTCGACCGCCTGCTAGCTGTTGTGCGAGACTGGGCCCGGCTTTTAATCTTTACGAAGTAAAGTTGTGGATTATTTCGCCACTGCATCCATGCGGAACGCGTTTAAAATCGTGCGCCTGGCCAGGACGACGATGCGGGAGCTAGGCGATCGGCAAGGCGGACTCGTCCGAAAGAGCTCGTCAAGGATATTGTGCTCTTGTGAGAGCTTTTACATGCGTTTTTGAGAAAAGAAAATTTGTGTTTTTTTATATATTTTTTTTTTTGAGATAGCTGTGTCCCGTGAAGGACTGCCTACGTACCCTTAGAAAGGGATCAAGCCATTCGTAGTTCATATTACATAGGTGTAAGCTCGGTAGTTCGAGCGTTTTTTTTTTTTTTTTTTTTTTTTTTTTTTTTTTTTTTTTGCGGTTGCGCTTAGTAGTAGTAACGTTTCAGGTTCGCGGAGTTCCACGAGCGGGGAACTGGAGTGCCGTCCATAGTCAGGAGTTCGTAGACTCCGGGTTTGACGATCTTGGAGATAAGGTAGGGTCCTTCCCAATGAGCGCCTAGTTTGCCAGCATTCAGTTCTGCCGTATTTTCGAATACTTTGCGGAGGACGAGGTCACCTTCGGCGAAATGGCGGGGCTTGACTTTTTTGTTGTAGAACTTGGCTGCTGCATGCTGATAGTTTTGGATGCGGAGAAGCGCTTTATCTCGTTCTTCCTCGAGGCAGTCGAGACTATCACGGAGCATTTGATCGTTGAGAGTGGAATTGTGAACGAGCATGGAGCGCCGGAGCGTCGGGGCGCCAACTTCTGCGGGGGCGAGGGCTTCCATCCCATAAGCTAGGGAAAACGGCGTACACCCAGTAGATCGGCGCGGCGACGTGCGGTGCGACCAGAGGACGCCATCGAGTTCGTCGGCCCAAACTCCTTTTTTCGCTTCAAGACGTTTTTTGATGCCGTCGAGAATAGTCTTGTTTGTTGCTTCGGCTTGACCATTACCTTGCGGATAGCGAGGCGTGGACTTACTCAAACGAATTCGCCAACGGGCGCAGAAACCTTCGAACTGTAGCGAAGTGAACTGAGTCCCATTGTCCGTTACAATTTCGTAAGGTACACCATGCCTGCAGATTATGTTTTTCCAAACAAAATTTTGGACTTCCTTGGATTGAATTTTGGCATATGACTCGGCCTCGACCCACTTGGTGAAATAATCTGTCATGATTAGAATGTACTTCTTTTGCCGCGACGCGGGAAGGGGACCGACGATATCCATTGCCCATCGCATGAAGGGATAAGGTTGTGACGCTGTTCGGAGGAGTTCGGTGGGAACATGTATGAACGGGGCGTGACGCTGACATTTCTCGCATTTCGCGACGAATTTTTCGCAGTCAGAATTCAAAGTTGGCCAAAAATGGCCGGTTTTTCTGATCCGAAGTGCGAGAGCTCGTCCTCCAGAATGGTTTCCGCCTGCACCTTCGTGAACCTCGCGCATTATATCGTTTGTCTCGCTACTGGCGACGCAAGCGAGAAGTGTTCCTGCTGCAGTCCATCGAAAAAGATTGCCATCCATGAGTGTGTACTGCGCGCTGCGAGTTCGTAAGCGTCGAGCTGCCCATTTATCTGTCGGAACGATACCGTCTGCAATGTAGTTACGTATTTCGTCGATCCAGTCCGCATTAGCTGGGGCGTCAGAAGCATCCGGGGTTGTAGATGCGGCCAGGGTGGGTTCTACGATGAGTAGGACGATGCTTGGGGCCGCGGCTGTTGCGTCGATTATGGTGTTGCCAGACGCAACAGTTGGTGGAACGGGTGATAAATCAGTCGAAACGGTGGATTTTGAGTGAAGGTCGATGCTGGGGCGGTCAATGCTTTCGACGGGAATAATGCGGCGCAGGTCAGGATCGGAAGTAGAAGCGAGCGTTGCTAATGCGTCAGCCGGTGCGTTATCGCTGCGAGGAATTTTAGTAAGTTCAAAGAGGTCAAAATTCCGAGAAAGGTCGCGAACGATCTTTAGATAAGCGTCCATGCGGTCGTTCTTTGCTTCGTAATCGCCGCTGAATTGGTTCGCAACAAGTTGGGAGTCGCAGAAGGCTTGTATGTTTTTAACTCCAATCCCGTGCGCAAGTCGCAGACCAGCAATTAATGCTTCATACTCGGCTTCATTGTTCGATGCGGAGAAAGCAAGGCGAAACGATTGTTCGAGTATCTCGCCCGTTGGCGAGGCTAAGCGAACGCCGACTCCGGAACCGTGCTTGGAAGACGCGCCGTCCACATACAATGTCCATTTTTCGACTTGGGGGACGCCAGGTTCGAGTTCGGGAGAGAGTTCGACGAGAAAGTCGGCGAGGACTTGGGATTTGGCACATGTGCGAGTCTTGTATTCGATATCAAATTCGCTTAACTCGACGGCCCACTTTGCGAGTCTGCCGGATTGGCTTGGACTGTGAAGAATCGTTCGTAGAGGTTGATTCGTGAGGACTTCAACGGTGTGGGACTGAAAGTAAGGTCGGAGTTTTCTGGCCGAGATGACGACTGCGTAGGCAAGTTTTTCGAGAGTAGGATAGCGAAGTTCAGCACCGTCGAGGGTCTTGCTTACATAAAAGATAGGACGTTGCTCACCTCGGTCTTCCTTGATTAGAACCCCGCTGACTGCTGACCCGGAGATAGCGATGTAGAGGTATAATGTTTCTCCCTGGTCCGGCTTGGCTAGGACCGGAGGAGAGGATAGATAATCTTTCAACTGTTTGAAAGCCTCTTCGCACTTGTCGTCCCATTGGAATCGTTTGTTACTTCGCAATAGTTGGTAGAAAGGCAAACATTTATCAGTTGACCGAGAGATAAATCGGTTGAGTGCTGCGATACGCCCGGTGAGACGTTGAACTTCGCGGGTATTCCTTGGGGAAGGAAGATTGATGAGTGCCGAGATTTGTTTCGGATTAGCTTCTATGCCGCGCTGGGTGACGAGATATCCCAGGAATTCTCCTGACTTTACGCCGAATGTGCACTTGGCAGGATTCAGCTTCATGTTGTACTTGTTGAGTACTTCAAAACACTGCTTCAAATGATTGACGTGTTCGGCGGCCTGGACTGATTTGACGAGCATGTCGTCGATGTAGACTTCCATCGTTCGGCCGAGCTGCTTTTCGAACATTCGGTTAACGAGTCGTTGATACGTTGCTCCGGCGTTCTTCAACCCGAATGGCATGACTTTGTAGCAGAAGGTTCCTCGTTCGGTAATGAATGCTGTTTTCTCCCGATCATTCTTATGCATAAGGATTTGATTGTAACCAGAAAACGCATCCATGAATGAGAGCAATTCGTTGCCAGCTGTGGCCTCGACGACCTGATCTATTCGCGGGAGAGGAAAGCTATCCTTCAGGCATGCTTTATTAAGATCGGTGAAATCGACGCAGACACGCCATTTGCCGTTCTTCTTCTTGACGACCACAGGATTGCTCAACCAATCGGGATAACGGACTTCGACTATAGACCCGGCGGCAAGCAGTTTTGCTACCTCTTCATTTACTGCGGTAGTACGATCATGACCTAGCTTCCTTCGTTTCTGCTTTATCGGCTTAAAAGTTGGATCGACATTGAGTTCATGGCAGGTTACGTTGGGATCGATTCCAGGCATATCGTCGATTGTCCAAGCAAAGGTCGTAGCATTCTGGCGTAAGAACTCCACGAGTTCATCTTTCAAGACTAGCGGAAGATCGGCGCCAACGCCGACACAACGGGCAGGGTCGGTCGTATCGATGTTAACCTGAATGACGGATTCTGTATGAGGGGCTTGTCGTGCATCTCGCGGATGGCTAGGCTCGGCAATGACGAGTACCTTGGCGTTTCGAAGCCGTTTCTCGACGAGAAAGCAAGTACGCGCAACTAACGGATCGCCGTATAACGTGTGGATGCCACGCATGGTCGGAAATTTAACACATTGATGGTAAGTCGAGGCGACGGCCCTCATTTTGTGCAGCCAAGGTGTTCCGAGGATAACGTTGTAGACGATAGGTTTGTCGACGATAGCAAAGTTGAAGCAATTCATCGTACCGCCAACGTAAATGGGAAGCATAATGGTTCCAACCGTCATCACCGTGTCTCCGTCAAATCCAGTTAGTGGTTGAACGTCTTGTTCAGCCGTGCGTAGATCCACCTCCATTTGTATTAAGACATCTTTGAAAATAACATTGACTGAGCTGCCTGTGTCAATAAGCACCTTGGTGACAGCACTTTCCCCAATTATTAATTCGACGACTAAGGGATCGTTATGCGGCCCTGTGAGGCCGGATGCGTCGGCTTCAGTGAATGTGATCGGGTCGGTATTGGCAAAGGCTGGCGTGCTGCTGGCAATCCAATCGCGCTGCACCTCTGCTTGGCGTCGATAATTTTTGATTGAACGGACTGAGTCCCGACAAGCTGTTAGGCCGCCCATTATCATGTGAATTTTCCGCCGAGGGATAGGTGCTTCGTCCTGCCGTGGCGCGTCGTGATTCCTCTTAGGTGGGCCAGGCAGCGTTTGGACGGCTTTGCGTGCCTGCTCTAATTGATTGGGTTCTTCACTGCGCTCGCTATCGTCGCGTTTGTGCTGATCAGCGTAGTCGCCTCCGTAGGCATTGTCCTTGTGCGAGGTCGTACGGCGTCGCTCGTGCTCGACTTCTATGCTACCGTTTTTAAATTTAGAAAGCAGCAAAAGCTGGGGTTGTCGGCAATCGTCGGTGGAATGACCCGCGAATTTATGAAACTCGCAATAAGAACGCTTCGTGTCAGAGTCGCGGTAATACTTGTTCCAAGGGGTGTTTGATTTTGGGTCCTGGCCGTTGATGGCGAATGACGAGTTTTTCTTTCCTTTATCGTTCTTAGCATATTCGCGATCATAATGCTGTCGAGGTTCATAGTGTTCGTCGCGAGCTTTGTCCTTCGAGTTAGATGCTTTCGGTTGGCGGTCCACCATTGCGGCCTTCTCTTCTTCGATCTCGATATAACGGTTGGCTCGGTGCAGGGCATCGTCCAGCGTGGAGGGCCGAGCGATAATAAGATCTTCCCTGAACCGCGACCCAAACAATAATGCATTTCGAAGGGCGCCGATTGCCGCATCGTCGGTAATGGCTATGTTAGACACAACCTTCTTGAACCTCTCAATAAATGTTCTAAGCGGTTCGCCCTCTTTCTGAAACATGGTCCAAAGATCGGCGTTCGTGGCCTCCTTGATCATGTAAACCGAGTGGTGTTGTAGGAAAACGGCCGTTAGTTCGCGATAGCTATCGATTGAGTTGACTTCGAGTCGCGAGAACCAATTTAGCGCGTCCCCTGTCAAATTTTCCACGAACAATTGGCAACTCCCAGCGTCGCTTTCTTCGGCGGTGAAATGCGCGCGATTGATGGCGATGCACATCGATTTGAGGAAGATTTTTGGGTCGGTGAGGCCGTTGTATGGGACCAGTTTAACTTTGTTAACATAACGAACATGGACAGCCGAGAGGCGCGCTGTGAACGGCGAGCGTTGTGTTTCTTCCAAAACCTTCTCTAGTTCCGGCGCCGCGGTAGTGGCCCGATGCATTTTTGAGGACATGTCTTTTATTAAGGCGTTCAGCCGTGTAAGCTCCTGATCGTGAGTACGGTTGTCGTCAATGTGGCGGCCAGGCAAGAGTCGTCCGGAATCCATGATTTGGTTGCTGAGTAGGTTGTGCCCGCTCGGCAGATTAGGCCCAGTTGGAGGATGACGGCCGCTCTGTAGATGGTGACCGTGCTGCGGATGATGGGCGCTCTGCATGATGTGGCCGTGCGGCAAATTCTGGGCGCTCTGCATGATGTGGCCGTGCGGCAGATTCTGGGCGCTCTGCATGTTTTGGCCGTGCGGCAAATTCTGGGCGCTCTGCATGTTTTCGTGGTGCGGCAGATTCTGGGCGCTCTGCATGATGTGGCCGTGCGGCAGATTCTGGGCGCTCTGCATGTTTTGGCCGTGCGGCAAATTCTGGCGGGGATGTTCGTCGATGGATCCGACGATGATAGATGCTGGGCCGCGTCGTCGAGTCTCTATGCGTTCGGCGACCGGGGTTCGTGGAGACTGCAGCTCCTCCTGGTTATCGTGGGGTTGGGAAGTACGTCTTCGGTGTCGTAGTCGTTCGATCTGGCTCTGGGAAGCGACTTGTGCGGCTACGAGGGCGTCGATCCGTTCTGTGGTCCGCGCGTCTTGGTTGTCGAGCCTATCCAGAATGGTCTGAACGAGATCGTCCATGTGGGTGCCTTGGTGTGCGGCTCGGGCACGTCCTGGCGCGGTGCCTTCGGTTGCTCCTGCTGCGGGCGGCTGCTCCAGCTGCGGCTGCTACGGCGAGTGCGGTAGGTGCGCCAGGAGCCGGGACGGCGTGAGCAGCATCAGACTCCATCCCTGTGTTGGGTGTGAACAAGAGGCGGCGCGAGGGATCGAGCTCGGAACGGGCAGCTACTGGGTTCAGCGGAGGTAGCCCCGGCGCGTCGGGCGCTGTTGGCGCGCCAGTGTCAGTTCCTCGGTCGCTTGAGGTGTCCGTCATGTCATCGCGGTTCGTTTGAGACTCGGTGTTCATTGTCTCGTCAAAAAAGGATAGCTTCGAACTAGCCCCACGGTGGGCGCCAATTGTTTGTACCTAGGTTGCAACAATAATAATATACGAGATTTTGGGGGGTGAACGGAGCTAGTCCTTTTATTAACGATATAAGCGATCAAGAGATTACAAAATGCAAGTTTCGCCGCGGCGGTTATAGACTATCCGCCGAGCCGAACACTTAACGTACGAAACAGAAAGACAGAATACGAAAACGAGCGAAGCGGCGAAACTCGGGCTAGGCGACGAAGTCGGGCTAGGCAACGATTTCGGGCTAGGCAACGATTCTTCTTATCTGCTAGTTAATAACCTCTGGATCGGATCCTGTTCCCAATAGTGATTTTGGCTATTTATAGGGAACAGGAACCCTAAATTCCTTCTGTCTCCTCTGTAAATGACGGTTTTGCCCCTTCAGGCTTAGTGGGCTCTTTATAGTGACCAGGGCCCGTTATAAGCTTGTAGACATTTGTTTTGGGCCTCCTAACATATATGGGGCAAGGCCCATGTCCAACAATAGCTTTGGAAAATCCTTCAAAGCACAAGTTCCGGAGGATTCACAAGTTCGAAATCGAATGGGGAAACAGTTCATGAATCGAACTAGAAACCTGATGAAAAAGAAGCGTACCTTGAAGTGAGGTTGATTCGATTCCATTTTCGTATGCAACAGTTGAGATTGCTGAACTTGAATATTGTTCTCAATCAGAAACCTTGAACACTCAAAATTGCTCAACTCTCGAGCAAAGCAATGTAGAAAAGTTTTGGTTTTTAAGTTGATGGAAAAGTTTGTTTAGAAACCCCATGAACTTCTACTAAATTGCATAACGAGGCCTTTTATTCTCAGTATTTTTAGTAACGTCCTTGAGTGGACTTTTTGTTTGAACAAACGTCCTTGAGTAGACTAATAGAGTACATTTTGATAGAGAGTTTATCCTGAAGCCGATGAGCATTCTTGTAAATGCAGAAAATATTTTATGGGGCCAAAGTAAAAATATCATATAATTTAAGATTACCATGAAAATTCTATGTAGATTATTTTTCAAATGGTAAGATTAACAATTAAATTTGTAGTTTTTTAAAAGCTGTGCCAATGAAAATTATGTGGATTATTTTTCAAATGGTAAGATCAGAAATGATACTTTAAATAGGAAAGGATATAATGGCCTCTCCAAAAAAGTAAGAAAATGGAGAACCTTATAGAGTTCTAGTAAGATTCATCTAATCAATGTATGCAAGACTAAATTTGGCCCAATTTGCTTATGGTCTAGTTGTAATTCGACCTACGAAAATGTGTAAATTCGTTTATTCTTGGTTCAAATCCTACAAGTAAACCGGGCCTTGTGGCCTAGTGGTAAAGGGGTCACAGCTGTGACTTCCGCCACCAGGGTTCGAGGCACGGCCACTGGCAGGTTTACATAGGGGAATTGCCAGCCTCGTGGGATTAGTCCTTGGGCCTAGGAAGCCTTTGGGAGACCCGCGGTTATTCAAAAAAAAAAATCCTACAAGTAGGGGTTTGATTCGTATGTGTTACCGGGTAGTTGTGTTATCTCGTTCTTGCAGAGTAAGTAATTTATATCTCTTTAGATGATAATTCTGATTGATTAAGTTTTCTTTGTCGGGTTATCTTACTTCTGAAATTAGTCGAACGCCTTAAATCGACTGTAATTGGACGAAAGGCGAAATTCTAGTCATGTACCACGACTTCGATGGTGACCGGGATCATCCCAAGTAACCATAAAAGAGAGAACGTTATAAGAGTTACAAAATGAGATCTTATTCTTCACAATTAATTAAACGAAATTTAACATTCCTATAAATACCACATGGGCGGGTACACACAAATCTTAGCTCGTTAATGTTAAGCCATGGCTCGTCTTATCTCAATTTCTCAACCTTTCTTCTCTTCAAACACTAAACCTCAACCACCACCAATCGCCGCCGCACAAATCTCCGACCACCCACCGCGCATTATCATCTCTCGTAGAGACACCATTCTCCTCTCCTCCGCCGCTTCTCTTCTCCTCACTCTCTCCCCCACCGATCCCGCTTTTGCCTTCTCCTTAGGAATCTGTACACACACACTCACTTACTCTTCGTTTTCTTATCTTATCTCCAATTTGTGAATTTTGAAAAAACCCTAATTTTCACGCAGCAGGACCTAAAGAGTGGCTTAAAGAACAGAAGAAGAAGTCTTCGAGATTCTTACTCGCTCCCATTGATGCATCTCGTGAAGCTCTCCGATCTGCTTATCTTTCGTTAACTAATGAATCTGATTATACGGAGAAAGATTTGGAGAATCTTCAGAATTTGTTTAAGTCTTCTGCTAGAGATTGTGTTCCTAAAGAGAGAAGTTCTCTTGTTGATTTTCAGTCTAAATCTGGAGTTGAGGTTTCTAGAATCTTCCCTTCTTCTTCTTATCTCAAAATGATCTTGAAGTTTTGGTTTTTAGTTATGAATGATCTCAAAGTTTTGATTTTTATGAAGAAGATGTTGTTGTTTAGGTTTGCACATTTAAGCTTGTTGTGAAGAATGCTGCTTCATTACTTGATGATAAGGATCCAGTCAAATTAGAAGCAGAGAATATACTTGATGATCTGGTTAGGTATGTGCTAGTGTAATGCAAATGCTGTGATTATGGTTCTTGTTTGTTGATTTCGCACTTTTTGTATTGCAGGTCTTTCAGTTCTTTGATCGTGTTGACGAATGGGGTTGATATGAATCTTCCTTCTGATAGGTTAGTTATTGAAATGATTAAGTGATCTTATGCCTTTATGTGTTCTCTGTTACTCAAAGCATATATTTATATAATGCCTCTGGTTTTCTCTCATGTCACTAAAGCAGTGCAATGTCTTAACTTGTTTTGCAGAAAAAAAGGTTGCAGATGCGGTTACGGAGGCTATCTCTTATCTTGACAAATTTGAGAAGGGTGTTAAGGACTGCCTTGAGATCTGAGATGAAGTCTAGTTTTCTCTTCTTCTCTTCTTGTGAACTCGTTATCGTTGTTTAGGGGTACCAACGAGTGTTACAAGTGTCTAAGTGAGACGATATCTCGTTCCATATAAATATAATCATATGCTTGATGCTGAGCCTCATTCATCTCCTGAAATCGTTTGAGTTATCGTATTTGTAAGGAAGACGCGAGAAGCCTTCTTTCTTCCTTAATAGTTTTTAGGAAGCAGATGGAAAATGGTACTTTTGAGTTTAGATTTTTAAGATAATAGTGAATTGTTCATATCAATGGTTTATACATCAAATTACCAATAATCTCCTACACAATTTCTCTAGTCTGAAAGACTCATATATATATGTTCTTCAAAAGCGTGCAGTACCAAATGCTATGTCTGGAAAGATCTTACAAGCTCACATGGTTCTCTAGGAAATTATCTTGAGGCGGTGAACCAGAAGCTTCGACCAAATACAAACGGCAGCATGGTTTTCCATCATCTGGATGGATCTGTGCAGTTCTTGGCAGGCGAAGAAGTTTGTTGAAGAGATTCCGTGGATCGTGTAGCAGACCGAAATTTGCATCTGGATCACCTATCTGTGAAAGCTTGACATGAGAGAATCCCAATGATGGTAAGAGCTGTTCAGGCCAGTCACTGTAAAAGTGGAACACAGAGTTTGGCAGTGTAGCAGACGGTTTGTTCATGAAATCCGCCAAGAGAACTGTGCTGGTTAGTCCACACTTATCAGCTATGAGCTTCAGTACTTGCATTGCCTCTGTGTGAGACAGGTAATAGAGAATACCTTCGAGAACCCATACCGTGTTAATCTCTGGCAAAAAACCCGATTTCTTAAGCTGTTCAAACCAATCGTTGTCTCTGATATCAATTGCTACTCTGACTAGTGATTTCGCTGTCATCCTAAGATCATCTCTAGAGTTTACTGCAGCTTGAACTAAGCTCGCTTTGGTTTCCAAAACATCTTGAAAATCCACTTCGAATACGTCGCTTTTGTTCAAGCAGTTTAGTCTGTATGATCTTGCATCCATTCCTGAAATTCATTACACCATTCTATGTTGACTACTTAGCTTAAACTCATGCTTTACATATATCATGTAATCTCGCAAATATACTTAAAATGTCTAAACAGGGGAAATCAAACCTGCACCAAGTAGAACAACCTGTGCTGCTTCGCCGTGGAAAGACTCCAGAGCAGCTTGAATCCTTGTATCAAACCAGAGAGTTCGAACGGCTAGAATCACACCGGAAATCTCTCGAGCATTGTTGAGACGGTCAGTCTGAATCTTTGTGTGTAGGTTTCTCAAATGTGTCTCTCCAGCAAACAAATGAGCGAGCGGATCATGAATAACATGTTTCCACAAAGCTCTACCTGCAGCTGTTTGACAAGCAGACTTCTGAAGGTAATCCCACTCACTTTGAATACTCATATGCAGTTTCTTCACACCTTCACTATGTAAAACCTCGGGTATCACGAGTTCTTCTTCGATATCCGGCCATGCCATCGATGATTCTTCTTCTTCCGACTTTTGCTTTTCTATTTCAGACATTGTTTGTTTCTAGTTCTCTCCTGAAACGAATAATGTTTTGTTTGATATATAATGAAGGAATGTGGGAAAATGTTTGGTGTTGGTCATAGAGATAAGAAAAGAGAACCACACATAAAAAACCAAAGGCTTAGAAGCAAAAGCATACGTTCTTCTTTATGTAACCACTGGCTTTTCTTTCCTCTTAAAAGAGCAACGAGTGGCTCCACTCTCAAGTTGCTTCTTTTAACCCCTTCCACTCTTCTATTTACTTAATGATTTTGACCAACTATATCCAAAGCTCGAGTGTCCACTAGTTTTTTTTCACTTCTTTTAAAACGTTTCTTTATCACTTGTACGATTATTTTGTCCAAAGAATGAAATTGGTGAGAAGTTTTAATGTTTGTGTTTTTTCTTCATTCTCATTTCTCAAGAACATGTTGTATTTATCAATTTCTTTTGGAAAAATAAAATTTTAGTTCGAATTCTGATGGTAAAAGGAAACTTATCCTAATACTTTGATTTTCTGCCCCAAAAACCATTTTTTAAATTTTATATTATGAATTTAATTTCTAAATGCATTACTACAATCACCAATAATGATGGTTTACTAACAAAATTTTGGCCAAACTTTTTGCCACCACGATTATTGTTTATTTACAAAAAATAAAAATAAAATAAAAAAATAAGAATAATTGCATTACCAAACGTTTATTAGATAAAATAAGGTATCACGATCATGACACCAATGATATATATTTTTCAATCTATTAGAAAAAATGATCTATAATTTTCTTTCTAATCTAACGTTATTAATCAAGATGGTAAAAGAATCATAACAATTTAACCGTTATTACAAAAAAAATAAACACTTCTCAAAAAATTAGAACCTTGCTTTTTAAAATTTCAATAAATCACCAAGTGTCATATATCTGGTAAAAATTCTCATACAAAATCTAGAAATCGCCGGTTCACGTGGCACTTAGGATAAGAGCATATAAAATGGTCTAGTCTCTGATCTGAAGAGATGTACGAGTATAGGTCCAAAACCTCTTATTCATATATATATATAATTAAAAATAAAAACTTCAATAGATCAAACACATGACTCATATAGAATTTAGAGTCAGCGACGAGTCACGGCCCATTGTCCATTACATACGGGTAACTAATTGTATGTACATACCAGTCATTTATTTTTTGTACATACATGTTATAACTAATAATAATACCTTTTTTTTTTGCTCAAAATATAAATATTTCATTGAAAATGAAAAAAATTTAGGAATACAATCAAAGATTATAAACCTGTGTCATAGTCTCATGGCAAAAAAGATATCAACATGGAAGCATAATTTGGAAAATCACAAATTTTAGTCCATTAACTCGACGTAAGCAATAAAGCATACAAGAACAAATGAAGTGATAACGACTCTGAAGTTCTTCCTCATGAGTTAAAGAAGATGACCAACGACTAAGCAGCAAGAAATACGCCAAGAGACGCAAACCAACAAGCACCAGAAGCCTTTCACCGGTGGCCTGAGACTGTGATGTCAACGGTGAAGCTCTCAATGCATGCCCTCGATCACAAACTCCATGTGCGAACGACTCTTCGAACTCAATCCCATGACCACTCACCGAACAGAACCACACGAACCAACATTAGCGATGGGTGCAAGCTCACTCTACCAAGATCATTCCCCGATGTCGGCGATTGGTGTGGTTTTAACTAACAATAACACTTTTCATGGACAAAAACACAATGCTAAAACTACAGCAATAATGTATAACGGTGTGACATTTAGCAGCGAATATGGCTAAATGGTCATATGTGTTCCAAACTTTTAGGTAAGGTACTATAAAGCTACAAGAAATTGTGAGAACGTTGGCCAAAAGGGGAATAGTAAAACTAATAGATTGAGAAATGTTGGAGCTGAGGAAGATATAATAGTCATTGTCTTATCAGTTGTTGCTGTTGTTGAGGTTGGTTAGACGAACATGATACCAGGAATGCATGCGTTTATAGCGCAATTATTTCATCAGTTTGCAGTTCTAATGGCGAAACCAGTGCTTGGTGTTAGTGGCTTACCATCTCTGTTTCTACCGTCACATATAGTGATTTAATACGGAGAATGTTTAGGGTGGATCAAAACCAGTGGAAACCAATGAATAAAAATTATGTTCGGATTAACAATATATGATCGGTTCTAAACCGAATTACAGTTAAATAAGAATACTATGGAATTGAATGAGTAATGTGGCTTGAATTAAGTTGCATCACAGTCAAGGGTAGAGATTTAACCATGTGGTGAGGTATACAATGACACATTGGTTCAATAACACATTAGACGCAATCAAACAATATCATCTATGCACAAACAAAGTAAAACACCTTCGCCATTGAGTATTGTTTTCATCAATTATTCTTGGTTCGATGCTAGAAATATCTATCTAGAAGATTGAAAATAGTACTTAGCATATGAGGTTGGTCCCCACGACACTATACTAGATTTGGTTTGAGGTTGGATAGATTAAAGGTTATTGAGAGGAGATGCAAGTCAAAAATGAGAATGAGAACGAGGAGATCTTAAGGTAGTTATCCTTCGTTGATTATCTTAAGTGTTAGTTTAGATAACACTTAGTGAACATGCCTTAAGACACTTAATTATATCACGTGTGCACCTCACCATAGAGGTTGTAACCATTGAGTAAATGAAAATATTAGCATAAAGTACTCGATAGTTAAGATCGGGTTTGTATGTTACTATGTTGGAACCAATTAAGACAAGGATGCGATGTTCAAGATTCACTTATCCTTGACCGTACCTGAATAGGGTACAAAAAATGGAGAGATAAGATTGCCGTGTAGGGTCGTGTAGGCTATAGTTACAGAGAAGGGCAGACCATAAGGGAAATTATTGAATCATGAAGAGGAGAACTGGAGACGAGGTTGAGTTAGTTAAAGGACTTGAGAATATGAAAGATTACATAGTCTTTCAAGTTATGTACTTGTGTATAGAATTGATTGTGATAATGATTTTGTGGCAATAGAATTATCATACTCTACATTAAATTTTTAAGGTACTTAAGTATAATATATGACTCTTCCTCTAATCGCTGAAGTTAGTTCAGGCATGAGAGATGAAGTATAAATGGTGGGAAGTTAGAGTATGACGCTTTTCTTTTGTTCTTGGTTTCTTTTGAAACTCGTTAACGACAATGCACTTTGATGTTTTAAGAGATTGGAGACTTTTAAAAAAAACTAATGTAGTTGTAAATCTTATTTTTCTTACGATAAATGTGTTTCATAATGATACAAATCTAGTTCAAGCACACTAATCCGAATTTCACAATGAAGAATCCACGTTTAAAATGATAGTCTATCTCAGAATAACTTTATACAAATTAAGCAAATTAACACTGACAAATGTGTTTGAAATGCATTGACCGTTTATGCATAAGCGTCCATGTTGTGTCTTAAATTATCCTTATGACTTATCAGTGGCGTACCACTACTGATAAAAACTGATAAATTGGGATACATAAATTTTATACATGATGTGTCCGTATAATATTAAGGAAGAATCTGAACAAAAAATAAATATATTATAAGAAATAAAAAAGTTACAAATTATTGAAAACAAAATTTATAACACAGAAGCTACATAAATTAATTTAGTGTAACAAACTCAATAAAGTAAACATTATATAGAATGAATTTTCCTAGAGTATAAGAAGAAGTGATTTATGACTTTTTATTTATTTATGAAAATGCATCTGTGTGGTTCTTTTGAATATTTCTAAACAATGGCCTTCAATGTTTCGTAGCTTTTGAAAGAGATTTTAGTTTTTGTTCTTCAAAAACTCATGTCACGCCAATCAAGTTTCTCAAATTTTGGTTTCCCTACAATTTAAGAAAACTTTTTTTTGTTGTGATATTCCATTCAAAATTTTAGATTTTTAGTTCTTCTATAATTTAGATAATCTAATTTTTAATCCATCTACGTTATTTCTCTCAAAAACCAAAAACCATTTTTTGGGGTTTCTAAAACAAAAATCTCATAACAAAATCTAAAACTAAAATTTGAAATCCAAAAACTAAAAACAAAATCTAGAAACCAAATAAAAAACCGGCACCCATTCATGGCCAATATGTATCCAAACCTTTAAATATAAACATCTTTTCGGCTTTTTGCCGACGGTTAAACACATTTCTAGATGTGTGGCATGTTACATATAAGAGAATGTATAAATTAACATCGAGTCCATATGCATTGTAGCCACGGAGTGACAAAGATGAAAGAGTTTGATCTCTCTCTATCTATATAATACATGACTTCACCAAAAGAAATAAATATTTGTACGATTGGAGAAAGATAGCAAAGTAGGACATAACAAAATCCAGCTTTAAATTACGCTGAGGTCATTTAAGAGGAAGAGAAAGAAGTATCTATCCATTTTGACAGAGATTGGCTTTTGGACATAAGTCGTTTCATGTACGATTACGAATGAATGACAAAGCGACATAATGTTGTACTCACTCAATTCCCCATGACGAATCTTATCGAATGAATGGTTCCACAAAATATTTGGTAACTTTCTATTTGTCTTTTGTACCAAAATGAATCTTTCTCACGCAGCTACATTCCATCCACGTGAATTTTTGTTAATCCAAGGGACACATTAACAAGCTAGGGTGATTATTAACAGGAATTTGAAATCTATTTCAATCCAGCTAGAAATTCGGATTCTGAAGTTTGATCCCTAGATATTAAAATCTTAGATCTGTATAATATATTAAACTTTTAAATTACTATTTGAGGCATAAATTTGATATCAAATACAGAATTCGGAAAATTGTAGTGTAAATCAAAAATATAAATTTATTAGCAATGACCAATAATTTTCATATCCAATATTTATTTATGTTAAATATTTTATTTCGTTAGTTTTTTTTTTAATATGCAATATTAATTCTTCCTAAAAAAATTTCTATGTAATATGTAGTCGGATAATCAATTAAAAGTGCATATTTATATTTGTAAT